GAAGAATGGAAAAAGAAAAGAAAACAAGCCAGAAAACTGCAGTAGCATCAAAGCCAATTAATACTCGTCAATCATATTAGGACTTCAATTAAAAATTTTAGCAATGTTTTTAAAATTTTTTTTTCTTTTTACTACTGTATGTCTGTAATTGCAAAACTAAGGGAATACTATATCAATAACAGTACCTCAGTGTAACCGAATAGACAGAGAACATGGTAAATTATTAGATTATGTCTTTTGCATATTAGCAATATGGAAATGTCCGTAGTACCACAGCATTTCGCCTATATTCCAACACCTACCTTCAATTCATACTGACAGAAAAATTGAGTAAATCAAAGACAAAATTTATATCCTCCTGCTCAGATCTGCTCAGCTTTAGTTTACTACATAGAATACACATAGGATTTAAAACCTATACATAGGATTTAATGCAACTTTGGTTGTTTTGAATATATTTTAAAAAGCTGAAACTGGGGCCACAATAACCTTACTAACAACACACACACACACAAAAAATCACTTATTTCCATTAAATAGTACAAATGTTCATCTTTTAAAGTTAGTAATTTCCCTCAGACTGCTGAAGACTACTTCCTCCTCCCAGTCTGTTAACATATGATGTTCAAAGGACCACTTTCAGATCAGAATAAATGAAATTTTCCACTGTCTTAGCAGCCTGGGGAAGGAGAAGGTACAGTGGGATAATGTTCCTTCCACTTAAGAAACTACAAATACTTAATTTTCCTTCATTGTTACTGTATACATCCATGCTTCAGGTCATTCCCCAACTATTAAATCCAGCTGGACTCAGTGAGAACTTCAGAATGTCTCTCCTATCTTAAAAACAATTCCAACATACAAATAAGCAAATAAGTTCCCCATATAGAGTCTCATCCTCCAGATGTTTTCATATACGCGTAACTCCACTAAATGTAGCTCCACTGAAGCAGAAAGAATTACTGATTGTAGCAGAACTAAACTGAATTGCGCAAGAGTATATAGGATGAGTATCTTTGGACAGGTGAACAGGAAGTAAGAGAGGACACCTCTGTGTCCTGCGAAGCAGCAAAGAATAGCAGCCTACCGGCCTTGCACATGCATTTAATTCTGAGATTACTATACCTTCAAATATGATCAGATATAATGAAAATCAGTGTACTAATAAAAGATGCATGTTTTTATAATCCATCTACACAATTATATCATACTATCAGTGGTCTACAGAGCCCTTGTATTAATCCAAAGAAGGAAAAACAAATAGGAATTGTAAGAACACTCGGGTACCATGAACACATTTGTGGTGTGAACTAGTATTTCCTAAAAGGTACTTACAGATATTTTCTTTATTTTACTTTAACTATTATAACAAGTAAAAATAGTGCAGCAATAAATGTATCTGTACATCACAAGCTGTCAGCTTTATACAGAACAAAGAAGCACTGTTTTAAAGCTCTAAGTTCTCTACTTGAATACTTCACTTCATAATTCAATACAAAGACCAAACACAGCACCTACAAAACAGGAAACATGCTTCCAAGTTCAGTCAGTAACCAGGATTTTCTAAACTGCAACTGCTACCATTTTTTATTAAATGGAAAACCCTACTCTTTCCTTTTTCTAGGAAGCAGAGATAGAAAATAACATCAGTTAAAAAATATTGGGAATATTACTACTGTCTATAAATCCTGTAAAAGCACAGAAGGGCTGACTTGACTGTGAACATTCTTCTCTAAGCTCCTGCCAAGAAAAGCTCTAGTAAGTGGTCCCTCTGATTATCATTTTCTGATTGTTAAGAGTTCTACACAGCAGCTAAATACAAAGAAGCTTTTTTTCATTTCTTATGGGGTTTAGTCTATGAAGCACATAACTACACAGTATAGCAACACAACACACAAAGTTATTAAAAAACCAGTCTCTAAAATAGCTAATATTTATTGTTACCAAAAAATCCAGAATACTATTTCATGTTATCACATGTTGCAGCATGTCTAAACTGAGACATACCAGTTTAAAAAAAAAAAAAAAAAAAAAGACAGTTTATTCAATCTTTGTGGTTATAAGAAAAATAACCATACCTGTAAAAATAAGAAAATTAATAGGTGTTACAATGCCTAAATGATTGCTTCCAATGAAACTTGTACCGTGCTTGGAAGACTGCAGTGAAACCAAAGTGCAAGGCACATTTAACGTAATACTCTCATCACCTGAGTGATAATGGCTAAATTTTAATATTTATGAGAAATTAGTAATGGCTTAAATAAAGGTTAATGAAAGATAACTCACCACCATCCCTCTCTCTAACTCTGTGAGTATGCACACTTTTTGCTTTACTGTGCCCTGTGTTGTCACCATATTTGTTTTCAGGGCTATCAGAGCGCCGCAACATTTTATTTGGTGGTGAAGGATCTGTGGTGTCTCGCATCTTGTCATGACGGTGATCACCACCACCGGGGTGACTCTTGGATGAGTACTTAAGAGCCTGTAACAGATCACAAGAGAACAGGCATCTACATTAGATATGAAGTTACAGAACTGATGTTAAAATGTTATTTCTGAATTTTAGATCTCTTTCCAAAACACTTTTAAAAGTTAATTAATTTTCATTTCCTATTTAAAAAAAAACAGCATTAGTCTTTCTAATTTTAATTACCTACATTAAAGCAACAAGTTCTGTAATTAGAACTCAAACCATTTTCTCCCACCACTACTTCCAACATATCACTTGCTGTTAAGAAAAATCTAATTTCTCTATCCTTTCACTGATGGACTACACACTTTCAGCAGTAACTGGGCCACAGTACTTCTGTGCTTTTGGGAGAAGCACAAGTCTCCACTTGGTATTAAGAATATAAACAGAAAGGTTACACTGAATCAGTGTAAACTTTGAATATTTCCTCCATACTGTAGTCAAGGCCACTCAGTTTGACTCCTACCCTGAACTTCTGCAACGTTTTTTCAGTACTAGCAACCCTGTAGCAGACGTAATAATAAAAAAAAAAAGTCTAGAATTCTGGGGGCCCAAAACATGTAACGTGACAATTAATTTTGAAGTATTTACCAAAAATTACATGTTTTGCCTCACTTTGACCTGCTTGATTTTGCAGTGCGAGCTTCTCAGTGGCAAGTGTTTACATTTCATGAACTGTCACTGACAGCTGCCTTGGACTGTCAGATTACACCTCACAGTGATACAAATACACAGAAATGTAATAAAACAGTTCAATTCTGTGCCCTAAGGAGAGCAATATCACAACATACGGCATTCCCCTGATTCACACCCCAAGAACTGTATTTTTCAGTAGCCACAGCAGAGGAATACAGTATCCACCTTAGAGAAATCGAGGTTATTGTCAGCAGTTTAAGGATTTGATGGTTTCTGAACATGCCTAGCAGCTGGCAACTGCAGAAATTAAGCCTTACTGGCAACCCCAGTTATTCAGGGTCTAAAACCATGCCCTGCTCAGGTTACAGTCTGCAGCAGCAGTTTTGGGGAGAAGAAAGGACTTGGGGAGGGGGGTGGGGGAAGAACAAGATGCCTTTTGTTTTTAAAAGGAAAACACTCACCTCCCCCTGGATCTCCACTCCACTGCAAGTGACCCCGGCTCGCTCTCCCGCCCCTCGCACGGCACCCTCCCCGACTCCTAGGCCCAAGCCCTACACGGGTCGCACTAGGCCTCTCCTCCTCGCCCCGGCCCCGCAGGCCTCAGAAGAGCGCCGGAGCCCCGTCCCCTCCGCGCGCGGCCGCCGCCTCCGCC